AGTCATACTTTACTATCAAAATTCCATTAGTTAATTTATAGTATCTCTTGTATTTCCTTTTCTTATAATAACATAACACCATCCTGGCAGAAGTACGGGATACATCTATGATTCCTAATCTTTTAAACATATGTCGGGAGAAGCGTTCTTTGATTTAAAGATTAGATATGCATGAGGTATGTGGGTTTGGGTGTGTAAAATTTTTATCTCTAATGTAGGTATTCAAAATGTGTTTGCTAATTGGACTAATATTATAAAAATTTTAAATTTTTAACGTGTAATTGGAAAAAACTCTGATATCTTTTTTTTATTATTGCTCTGACCACAACTTTCTAGTAGAATTATAACTCAAGCCCACTTTACAAGTTTTATGATTAACTTGGTTAACTTTTTTGCAAAATCAGTCTTAAAATCTTCAAATTTGATCCCTGATGTTTGCAAAAAATTACACAATATTATTTTCTAACTTTATTTTTCGTTTTTTGTATATTTGATTTATTTTCGGGTTATATATATATATATATATATATATATATATATATATATATATATATATATATATATATATATATATATACTTTATTTCTTTTTTATATGTACTTTATTTATTTTCATTTTTTATAACTTTTCAACAATTTGATTTTTTTTACCACTTGTTTTCTATTTTTTTAGTGTATATATAGAGTATATTAGATTTTTTTTCGTATTATATTTATTTATTTATTTGTTTTCTTATTTGTTTTCCAATTATTTGATTTTTTTTGTGTTTTTAACTTTTTTATTGATATTTTTCGAAAAATATAAAATGTATTAATATGTTAGAGTATATTATAATTTTGATAATTTATAGTTTTTGTAATTTTTTTTATTTTTTTTCAAATAAATAAAATAGTTATGTTTATATTTGTAATTTCGGTCCAACTTATTATCTTTTTATTCTTTTTATTCTTTAGTGTTATTATATTTATGTTACGAAAAAAATGGAAAAAAAATAACTTGCTTATTAAGAATTAGTGTTTCAATGTGCTGTATAACTTGCAAATTAAATCATATTTCTACATATGATATCAATAGTTTAAATTCAAGATAATATTTTTCAATTTGAGAATAGACTAAAAGAAAGAACAAAAAATATAATAATAGCCAGTCTCTATAAAAAAACTTGTTATAGTAATTTAAATTAAATTCAAGTTCGTTTAATTGAATCAAAATAAATAAAAACATTAGAAAAACCATAAATAACTAAAATAGAAAAAAATAGAAAACAAAAGGTAAAAAAAAAAATAAACAAATTGTTGAAAAATAAAGCTAAAAAATGAAAATAAATAAAGTATATAAAAAAGAAATAAAAAATGTATATATATTTATAAAAAAACCAAAAATAAATAAAGTTGACAAAAAACGAAAAATAAACTTAAAAAACCATGAGGTGTAATTTTTTGCAAACATTAGGGACCAAATTTGAACTTTTTAGGATCGATTTTGCAAAAAACTTAACCAAGTTAACCATGAAACTTGTTAAGTGGGCTAGAGTGATAATTCTGCGAGAAAGTTGTGGCTAGAACAATAATAATAAAAAATATAGGGCTTTTTCCAATTACACGTTAAAAATTTAGGGCTTTTATAATATTAGCCCTTGCTAATTTCAAAGAAACTACTAAGTATTTTGTGGTGAAAGACATGATGGTGTGGTTAGAGATTGCTAGATTGTGAATGTGTGCTTGGAATCTACGTGTAAACAAGAAGGTCGTTGCGATGTGGGGTGATGTTTTGTTCTCAGATGATGATGAAGGAAATGGTCTTACCACTCGAAAGGTATGCATCAAAACAAACAAAATGACTAGTATACAAGATAATGTGTTGGTCAAGATTGGAGGGAAGGATTATGAGGTAGAAGTGAAGGAATTTTGTAATGTCCCAAAATTAAGACCAATAATTTTCGTTTTTAAATTAGTAAAACTATTATTTAAAATGATCACCAATCATCATAAAACCATGGTGGAACAAAATGTATCAACTACATCATAACACATCAAATAATCATAAATTGCAGAACGAGGTGGTGTGTGCACTGCAATCATCCCCCGAATCTTCCCCTTCGAACTAGAAGTACCTGAAAACATAAGTTGAAAACCGTAAGCACAAAGCTTTGTGAGTTCGCCAAAATATCATATACCATACATAATAAACATATAATGGGCCATACCCTTCATCGGGTCCCGCCCCGGCATCGAGCCCTACTCGATATACAGATCTGTCAGTCATCGGGCCCCGTTCCGTATACATATTAACATATAATAGATAAACGCATAGCACACAATAATCATAAAGATAAATAGCATCCATAATGGTCATCGGGATCGCTCGATAAGTATACAAGTACATAACACATGCAGGAGTCACACATACATCTAACATCCTAACATAACAAACCATGGGCCGACATTGATGTCTTTAACCCGCTAAAACACAGTGAGGAAACTCACCGAGGAAACTCACCTCTAGCTGCTAAAATATGCAAAAGAATCTATGCCTGATAGTTCAGAATCTAAGCCACTTAGCCCACAACCAGGGTACAATACCATTTTCTTATTTTTCTTACTTGGCCCAAATACAAGGCCTAACCTAACTATTCAAAAGGCCCAAATCCTAAATGGCAACCCAAGGCCCAATTATGGCCTAATCTTCCAAATTGGACCCGAACCCCATCATAGGCCTAAATCCAATTAATCCCAAAATACTAGTCAAAAGCCCAAATCAGAAGTCTAATAGCCCAACAAGGCCCAAACTTAAAAACCCAAACCGAGAAGGCCAACCCCAAACACCTAACTAGTGAGTACGCGGGGCGTACTCAGCTCGTACGCCCAGTGTGCTCCCTGATTACTAGTTCTCTTAATTAGGCATTTAATTAGTTAAGACCTTTTGCTATATCTCAGATTTGGTCCCTAAGGGTGGCTTATCATGTAAAGTTGGTAACTTTCCACTCATGTATGGCTTAATGGGACCCAACGCTCAAAAAGAAGCTTCATAAGGATCTTAATACATGCATGGACCAATATCCTCCATAAAGTTTGCATTTTTATGAACATGGGGCCTTAATGGAGCTAAGATCTAGCATCCATTCCTTCTAGAGTATATCAAAAGCTCAACTTTAACTCAAAAGACTTAAAAATACACAAATAACACCATAAAGTAGATCTAGCAAAAATGACCAACAAGGTGAGAGCTTTTACCTCAAAACGCTTGCAAATGATAAGGTAATTTTGGACCTACTAGCTCAAGCTATCCCTCCAAGCAATCACCAGGAGTTCTTTTTCTTCTTCTTCTTTCACTAAAACACCACTAAAATCACACTTACAAGCTCAAAACTCACAAGCACTTCGGGTTTCTTTTTCAAGGTAAAGGGAGGTGGAGGCTGGTCAAACATGTCCAAGAGGTGCTATAATGAGGTTTAAATAGGGTGCAAAACCTAAAAATTAGGGTTTCCCCAACCGTATGTACGCCCACCGTACTCCTATGTACGCCCAGCGTATGTGGGTGATGCCTAAGACCAACAAATAGCTAATACACTAAGCGTACTCATAGAGCATGCCGTGCATACTAGATAAAGAGCAAAATGAAAATAATTTGCATTAAACGGATAAAAGGAAACTTACCAAAAACTTGAATGTTTCAATTCTCCCCCACTTGAATCAGACTTCATCCTTAAAGTCCGCCGCCTCAAATAACTCTGGGTAGTGCTCCCTCATATCCTCCTCCGGCTCCCATGCCCATTCTGAATCCTTTCAGCACTTCCACTGGACCTTCAGTAACTCAACAATCTTGTTCCTCAAGGTTTTCATCTTTCGGTCAAGAATCACCACCGGTCATTCGATATAATTCAGGCGATCATCCACTTGAATATCCTCCAATTGAACCACCACAAAACCATTCAGTAAACACTTCTGCAACTAAGAGACGTGGAATGTGCTATGGATTTGCCGAAGTTCCTCAGGAAGATCCAAACGATAAGTAACCCTGCCCACCCGGGCCAAAACCATGAAAGGACCGATGTACTTGGTGCCCAATTTGCACCTCTTCCTAAATCAGATGACACATTTCCAAGTTGACACCTTCAGGAGAACCATGTCCCCAACTTAGTATTAGATTATGTGTCTAATCTCATAAGTATAATTGGTATAAACTTGAATTTATAGTAGCACACTCCTTTTGGGTTGCCTTCAAACCTAGCAATTGAATAGGATAAATGTTAGAGAGAGAAGAATGATTTATTAATTTATTACTTGGTTAATAAATTAATTAGAAATCAAAATAAATGTTTTGTTAATGTATTATGGAAATAATATATTAATTAGAAATCATAATGTTTAATTAATATTTAATCAGAAATTAATTTTGGGATTAAAGGAATTAATTGAAACTGCAGGGACTAAAGGTGACAATATTCAATAGTTGAGCATTGTGCATTCTAGAACCTCCGGGGGGGGGGGACCAATTCTAGGATGTCTCTAGGGTTTCCTTGGGCTCTAAGGTTGCCTTGGATGCCTTAGGTAGGAAGTTAAGGGATTATGGTTATCTTGGATACACGTACCTTATCTAGTACCTTCCTAACACCTATAAAAACCCTACTAAAGGTTAAATTTCGGCTAACCCTTGATTCTAAGTGACTTTGGCCAAAATTTTGACCTACCCTTCTTTCTTTATAGTATTCATTGGTTGCTTGGTTTGTTTGTGAGCCATTAGAGGCGTGACACTTGCGACGCTTGCTACCAAAGGTCTTTCAAGCAACAATTCAAGAATGTTTACAATAACAATCTTAAAGGTATGTATTATAACCCTTTATTATGTGAAGTTTGATTATAATACATAGAACCTAGGCTTTCTTCTTTGTTTTTCAAGTTTACATGTTCAATTAGAGAAAACCTAGATCCAAAACAATTAGGGTTTAACCTACATGGCATGATATAATTATGTTAGTAACAAATTATATGTAATTAATCTTATATTTTAAATTGTTTTACTTGTCCTGCATTTTGGTTCACACATACTTTTTGTTTCTCTTTCTTCACATTTAACTTTTGGGGCCTTCTCTGTGGACAAGTGGCCTTGTTGTAACCATTCTCCATGCAAATACTACATTTGATTTTCTTTCCAGCCTTAGAAACCATGTGTGTTCCTGTATTCTCTGTAGTGGATTTCTTCCTCTTAGTAGTTGGCCTACCAGGCATCCTTCTATTAATAGGAGGCAATGGTGGAGTATAGTTTGTCTCTGGCCACATGTCACTGCTATTCATGGGAGCAATTCTGTAATTGTATGCCTTCCTAAATGTGGTTGTGCTAAACATGTTGTCTACATAGGCTTCTACATCCCTATTAAGAAAGGACATGCTAGCTATAGAATGAGCACATCCATATCCATTCAATTGCCACAACCAACATGAGCATGTTTTTCTTTCTAAGTCCACCTTATATGCATCTATTGCTCCCTTTACCTCAAACTGGTTTAATCCACTTGGTAGTACCTGATAATGCCTTTGAGCTTTATTAAGCAAATTCACCTTATCCCTTATCTCTGGACAAATATCATTTCCCCATTGGTTTCCCTTTAATTTCATGTTGTAGATTCTGTCCATCATGTATAATCTTATCTCCTCTAACATGGTTATTATGGGCTTCTTCCTAGCATCTACTATTACAGCATTAAAACTTTCTGAGAACCCATTTTCAACTGCATCACAACACCTTCCAATTTGAAAGAAACCTCTAGACCATGTTTTAGGATCTTTCTCCATGAGATATTGATGGGCATCTGGGTTCAATGTCTCAATTTCTTTCATCACAACTTTAAAAGCATGCTCAGTTGTGGCTTTAGATGCTCTCCAAAACAAGGTATGATATATGGCACCAGTAAACCTCTTCTGCAAATTTGGCAAATATGTCTAGCACACTGCCTGTGCTCTACATATGGTAGCAACTCTTTAACAGCCTCTATCAAACCCTGTAGTAGTAAAAAGGTTTAATTCAGATAGTCTAAAATTAACATAAATGCATTACTATGTAAAATACTAACCTTATGTTGGTCTGATATTAAACTGAAACCATTGCCTAAATTCAAGTGTAGGTCATCAATGAGAAGCTTTAGAAACCACTTCCAATTCTGCTTGTTCTCCACATTAACCACTGCCCAAGCAATAGGATATATCTTGTCATTTGCATCCCTCCCAATATCACAAAGCAATTCTCCCTTACAAACACCTTTAAGAAAACATCCATCAAGACCAATTACCCTTCTACACCCTTCAATCCAACCTTGTTTAACTCCTTGAAAACAACAATAGAACTTGCTAAAATATTTCTTTCCATCTGGACCATCCTCCATATCTAGTTTCACTGTTGACCCAAGATTTGTCCTTAAAATCTCATGACAATATGACCATAGCTTACCATAATGATCAACAAGGTTACCTTCAACAAGTTTCAGTGCATACTTCTTTGCTCTTCTACATTGCCCCATACTAACTTGGATACCAAACTTGGCCATTACCTTTAACCTAAGCTTCCTTACACTTATTTTCTGACTTTCTACAATCTCTTTGGTATAGTGACTCCCAATCCATGCATATGTCACCAATGATCCAAACTTGAAGTTCCTAGCACAATTATGATAAGCTTTTAGTGACTTGATTTGGAAACTCTCTTCATCACTCATTCAGGAAGCCCATAATCTAAATGTGCAAGCACCTTTGCTACACCTCACCAAAAGTCTTGTCCTATCATTTTTTTTCAAAACACAATTGATATCCATTAGCTACAGCATAATTACACAACATTGATTTTACTTGCCCTGGACCCTTAAATCTCATCCCTAGAATTGGTTTTTGTTTTTTCCAGTGTAATAGCTCATTAAATATGGAATGAGTTTGTATGTTAACTTCAACTTCTCTCCCATTGTCATCATCTACAATGTTGTTTGTATCCTCATCATCAACACATAGCTTACTCAAGAAAGGATCATTTGATGTCCTATTCATATGCACTATATCCTCATTAAATTCAAGGGCAACATTTCTAAGTTCATCTATGTTGTCTTCATTTTCACCATCAATACAAGACTCATGTTCATCATCATCATTATCTTCATCATCATGACACCCATAAACACCAACCCCAATATGATCCACATAAACCGAAATTACACCACCTGTTCCATAAGCATAAAAAATAAAAGCAGAATATTCCACATCATCTGAAATGGGATTAAGCCCTTCCATGAAGGACATGTCTGGTTCACAGTAGTAAAAATTTTTACACTCTTCATGCATGAAACATTCGCAGAATGTCACAAACTCAGAATAAGTCATAGAAGAAAAGTCAACATCATTGAAGATGGTTTTAACACCACCAGTGTAAGAGAAAGGAATTCGATTAAATACCCCTTGGTAGTTTAGTTCCACCATCGCAAACAGTCCATTAGGTTCCGATTGTGCCATTGCTGCAAGTTCTTTATTTCTTTCAGCTCGATCACAGGAATGCTTCACAAACCCTAAATTAGTTTCTTTTACAGCTGAATAATGAAGACGATGACTAGTGAAGTTCGATAGCTGAAGACGAAAGGATTTAAGCATCGTATTTCATTAATTGATGTGGCATATCTCACGTGACATCGGATTAGACAAAAAATATATATTAATTGACAAAATGGCATCGTATAACCGGGAAACCTTCTAAAAGTTGCTAAAATGGTGTAATTAAAAAGTCAATTATGAGTTTACTGGTCTAATGTACCCAAAAAAAACTTTAAGGACCAAATTAGCCAAATGTTAAAAGTTCCATGTGCTACAGTGACATTATCCCTAAGAAAAACATATGCTTAAGAAAGGGAACTTAACCTCAATTCTTATTGGTTAAATGTATTATTCTAAAGGGAAATGACTACATAAATTATCATGGATATATTTCAGTACACGGTGCAAAAACATATTATGTCCCTTAAACTACACAAGTTCTTATTTTTGTCTCGTGATTTCATTAGAATAGTAGAACTGGGAAGCCACAAATATATGTTAACATATCGGTTCAACTAAATCTTAGAATTATCATCAAATTATCCCACATCATAGTAGAAAACATAGCTCTAACACAATGATATCTAAACATAATTTTTTAATAATGTTACTCGATTTCTATGTTAGACCATTTTTCAAGTCTTTATTATTTCAAAAAAATTTCAAACTAGCATATACAAAATTTTAAAATCTAGCATGCTTGTTGTCCTTTTTTTCAATCCCCATACCCCACACTTAAATTATACAATGCCTTCATTGTATATAATAACAATTTAAGCATATAAAATAAAAGAGGGAGAAAATGAACGAACTCGCCTTGGGTATATAGTCACAAGAAAGAAATCGATTGTAGTGGGTTACTTTAAAATGTGTGTTGGAATGATGATGCTTCAGATCTTGCTAAAACTAAAAACTATAACAACTTTACTTTTCTACTCATGCCAGGACTTGGTGTGCGAATCGATCAACCATCATATAGCACTACAAAATGTAAAATGTGGGAATAGCTTCTCGGGAATTTTCATCGCGTAAAAAGATGATGCCATGTGGTGGTTGTGCATGTGCCACGACATGGAAACTGAACAATATAAATTTTTTCGCGAATAAAAATGAACTCAAGATGTGTCAGCCTAACACTCCTCTCGTCTCTCGTATATGCTCTTCCTTCCAGTAATGGACTTTAATAAAGTCTCGATCCCTTATCTTGTGGGTAAGTGACCCCACACTTATGTGATCCAACGCCTCTCGTGAAAAACCGCACTCGATCCTAATCGTTGAAAAGACTGAAGGCATATGAAGGGAAAAAATTCTATAAAGATCTAAAACAACAAGAGGATCAAAATGGAAAACAAAATTAAACAATCTGAAAATAAAAATAAAAATAAAACAAAATCACAGAAAAATAACTAAAAAGGATATCATGATCACTTGTCATCTTCACAATCATGATATAATTGTTGATTAAATCTCTTGCATGCAAGATGTGGCTTGCGAAAACAAAAACTTTTGGGAACTGTTAGACTATTTTCTTTGCTTTTTTGCACCATTAACTAATAAGTAGAACAATAATTGACTCAGCTAGTCTAGAGTAACAACAGTTCAGTCTTCTGTTTAACCACCGTGATATGTCTCGCTATACCACATCTCATGAATTGAGTTGGACACATCACCAAAGTAGTAGACTAAACAAGTCAATCATTCCTTAATCGCTTGCAATCTCGAAACCCATGCAAAAATAAAAACCAAGCAATGCATATGATCACAAATTCCTACACATAACAACAAAAACTTTCCCAACAAGTGACATGTTATCAACGGAAATAAAACTAAAACTAAAAATGGAAAACCAAATAATGAATAATCCAATAAACCAAATTAACTGAAAACCATTTCCCGGCAACGATGCCAAAAACTTGATGTGTATTTTTTATGCACTAGTTTTTATTTATAATTCCTAGTCTATCGAATCTAAACCAACACCTTACAAGCAATGAACCCGATCGAGTATAATATAGTTTTGATAAGAAAGGGTGTCAAAGTCAAGGGGAACAGTAATGAATTAACTTTAGAGTTTTTTATTATAGGTTATACTAAATAAACGAAATCAATAAAAGGGGGTTTTGATTATAAAACTCAACTAAATCAATAACTAAACTAACTAGATAAACTGATTGGAAACGAATCACTTTAGTACTCAAGTTTAGATTGGATTACTGAATTCTAATAGCACAATGGATTTATTAGTTAGTTACCGAATTCTAACAACTAGTTGTCTTGATCAGATTTCGTAGTGCTGATTATTAATGAACAACTACCACAATAATCATGCAATTAGTGAACACATAACTAATTTAATATATTCAGAATATGAATAAATATGGTCTCATGATTTCTCATCAATAGTCATGACAGTCAATCAAAGCATAGCATGGATATCTAATACCCTCTAACACAGTCAAACTCACAGATTAACATTACCCAACCCTAGGATTTGATCAATCTCTAGTGCTAACAGTTTAATGGCTATAAACTAATTATGATTCAAGTTAATGTAATTAGATTGGTCCTCTTAACTATACATAACTCAACAATAGGCAACAAAAATCATAAACTTAACATGATAGGTGATGATCAAGCAAACACAATTAATAACCAAACTAATAGAAGCGGAAGTCATTGAAATCAAAACATAAAATCGAATTTCACCTACTCCAAACACATGAATTCATAAAGTAAAAACACAAATAGAAACAATTAGAATGTTAATCATGCTCAAAATAGAAAATCGAGTGATTCCTGTCATGAATCAGCTCTCGAATCCTTCATATTTTCGCTCCATATCAGCTTAACAACCATCTAACCGCCTTTTAGACTCTCAAAGTCGCAGCTTGGGGGTTTATAATTGCAAAAATCAAATTGGGTTTGAAGATATATCATTAGGGTTTATTTTTGGATTAATTTATATGTTTTAACATCGTCACGACGTAGAAAAGACTTGCCACAGCGTGGGAGTTGGATTCTATCACGCACACAAATTTTTTTATTCACCATGGTGTGGAAACGGCTTTGACACAGCATGGGAACTGCGAATATGTCACACCACTAAACCGGAGTGGCAGAAACATCCGGGGGTGGATGACTTCATGTTAAGCATCACAACACATGCATCATAGTAATCAAAGTACAACAACCATTGCATTAATAAAGTATAAGTTTTACATATGTATTCAAGTCATTGTATATATGAAATCAAAAGTTATATAACAAAAGATAGAAGACATGACTCTATACTGCTCTGTCTTCTCAAAATCCCGAGGATGTACCTGTCTACTGGTTCCCTGAGAATACAAGTGCTTTGAAAAAGAAGAGTATCGACATTTAAGTTGGTGAGTACATAAGTATCTATGTTTAACAACTTATTTTCTATTCCTTGAAATAGTGTGTATGTTTATTGTTCCAGAAAATCCAATAGTTTCTATTTTAACTGAAAAGTAGTTTTAATGCCATAAAACTATTGTGTGTAAATGTTGTTGTATTATAAAATAGTGTAACATAGTTTTAATTTAAAATAAAACTATAAAAAGAATGTTTTCTTGTATTTTTTATGTTTTCCAAGCTCTAAAATTTTACTCTTTGATAACTTTGTAGAACTGAGTGTGCCTGATTTCACCAGCTATAGTTGTAAGTCGTAGTATTATACTGTAATTCATATTATTGTAAAACCAGTATATTGTATTTGTACTCTTTGGTTTAATTATTCATACACTAATCGCTATTTCTCATATCTTTTTGTGTGTTATTATAAAACATTTAAAATTGTTTTAGAAATATTTAGAAATCATTTATTTGTTAAGGGGGTATTCCTAGGCTTCGTGGGTTTAAGAGGGGTTAAAAGAGTGTTCATGGAAGTAAAAAGGATATAAATTTTGTAACCAAAGTGAAGAGGGCGATCCCTCTATTTATAGTCTGAAATCTCGACTCTTACGTCGTGAGCTTGGTCCTGATCAGCTTGTAGCCCGACCATCTGTGTCTCTAGCTTCGGAAGGTGTCACAATGGCTCTCACGTCATGAGGAATTTCTTTCTCACATTGTGAGTTTGGTCCTGATCAGTTCGTAGCCCCACCATCTGGGTCTCTAACTTCGGAAGGTGTCACAATGGCTCTCACGTCGTGAGTCATTTCTTGCTCATGTCGTGAGTTTTGATGAATCACTCCGTAGGCTTGTCACATGGATACTAGGTTTGAAAGGTGTCGATTGACTACCTCACATCGTGAGCCATATATGATCACGTCGTAAGCTCGGTCAGGCTAGGGTTTCGTATACGTATTAATCTTTCAGACAGCAAAAACTTTGGTAGGTCATAAATTTTGCATATGAGCTCCGTTTTTTACGTTCTTTATATCCACACTCTCGGTTTAATGTATACTAAAACTTTCATTTAGATACCTAAGGCTAAAAATCATTTTATTTTAAACTCACTTTTTACGCTACACAGCGTTTTGCTGGTTTTGTCGCGGATCTTCGATAGGGCATAACTTCTTCGTTATAACTCGGATTTCGGCGTTCTTTATATTTTCGGAATCCTTGTCATGACCACTACTACTTTACTTATAGATATCATGTTTATTTAAATTTTTTTTTTGAGGATCGATTATGTAAATGCACATAGTATTCAAAAATTTCTATTTATTACTTTAAAAACTAGTTACAAGTTAATCTAAACTATTACATTGATTTGAACTAATGGGTCGTTACAGAATCCAAATTTGGAACAAACACAAAAGTCGTTCGAAATATTGTTTAGTTTTCATAACATCTTGAATATCCTCAATTATAGTTATGAGTCATTACATATGGCCAAAACACTTAAGATATGTCTATCTACCAGCAACATTTTTTGCGTATTTTTCAGCTCCGTCCTCCTTTTGCATCCTAGCTCCCATTTTAATTGTAATTGAACATTAAAAATCATATTGAGTATCATATATATTAAATATAACATTTTTACTCAATGATATTAGGATAATGGCCTAAAATACATAGTTAAATAAGGCCATATC